ACTGTTAGATATTAAAAAAAAACATAATATAAAACAAATAAAAAAAACAATCACCGTATGTAAATAAAATCAATTTTTAAAAACGCCAGTATTCATAGTATTGGCCAATAATCAATATTGCAATCTATGTTTATTGCCAGTCCATAAGCCCGGAATGACATTTTGTTTGAATAGTTTTTTTTTTATATATAGGAGAGGGGGCAAACTAGCATGCGGCTCACCTGATGGTAAGTGACTACCGCCGCCCATGAACAACTGCAACACCAGAGAGGGAATTGCAGATGATGGTTGGATGGTGGATGGATGCTTTTAAAAAGGAGTAGGGTCTTTTCTTGAAGGTCCCTAAGTCGTATCGGTCCGGAAAAATCGCTGATGGTAATCGATTCCACAAGGAAGTCGTGCGAGGAAGAAAACATCTTCTAAATCGCACAGTGGTGGACCGCCAATCATCCAGATGGTGTGGATGGTATCGGGAGTTCGGTAGATTAGGATAAAGTGTGAAGAAAATCTACTTTATGACAACAAAATCAAGTGTACATTCCGGCGCAGCGTGTAGCGAGGGCATTGCGTTTGGCAATTGTCACATCAAAATGCAAGCATATTTTTTACAACGCGAGCATTTCATTACAATAGCCAATAGCTATCCTGTGGCGCGTCATTTCGCATCATGTTTGGAGTCATGGTATAACGCAACATTCCTCGGTACGAAATGTAATGTCATATTACATCACTTTAAAACGCACTGTTTTGCGCATCTCTACTGTGTTTCATCGTATTGTGAGTGTAGAGAACCGCAGTTAACTAAAAGCGAAGAATTCTATCTTAGTGGTGACAACGCGTCTCTATTTTGATTTTAAATTGAGGATAAATGTAGATGTCACAACATTGACTTGTGTGCTTTGGAGTTGGCACCGGTTCTAACGCGTCTTTTCCGGTACTCCTACTCTCTATGCATACTCCCGAAACCATGGAAGACAGCTTTTGTTCACCCGATCCCTATAAAAGGCGACCGCTCAGACCCGTCCAACTACAGGCCTAACGCCATCATCTCCTTGTTCTCCAAAATAATGGAATCCCGAGAAATTGTGCAATTGGATCACCAGCTTCCTTGCAGATCGGAGCATCAAGGTCGTAGTAGACGGTGCATGCTCCGACTACAAGCCTATTAACGCTGGTGTTCCACAAGCCTGTGTGCTATCACCAACATTGTTTCTTCTGCATATCAATGATATGTTGCAAACTGGTAACATTCATTGCTATGCGGATGACAGCACTGGTGATGCTCTATACACCGGCCGTGCCAATATTTCTCGGGAAAACATCGCCGAGTACCGGAACAAACTTGTGTCTGAAGTCGAGTCTTTGCTGAACAAAGTCTCGGATTGGGGGCGACTAAATCTAGTCCAGTTTAAACCTCAGAAGACACAAGTTTGCGCGTTTACCGCTAAAAAAAAACTCTTTGCCGTATCTCCTCAGTTTCAAGGCACTCCCCTTATTGCTTCAGTCAATATCGGAATCCTCGGCGTCGACATATCGAGTGACGTGCAGTTTCATGGTCACTTAGAAGAGAAGGCCAAATTGGCCTCTAAAAAGCTTGGAGTGTTCAGCAGAGCGGGACAGTATTTCATGCCGGCACAACGCCTGCAACTTTACAAGGCGCAGCTTCGGCCTCACATGGAATACTGTTCCCATCTCTGGGCCGGGGCACCCCAGTGCCAGCTCCTTCCATTTGACCGCATCCAGCGCAGGGCGGCTCGAATCGTCGCCGACCGAGTCCTTTCCGATCGGCTAGATTCATTGGCGCTGCGAAGAGATTTTTCTTTCGCATTTACCACGGGGAGTGCTCTGAGGAATTGTTCGGATTAATCCCAGCCGCCAAATTTGACGAACGCACATCGCGGCAGAACTCCCGATACCATCCACACCATCTGGATGATTGGCGGTCATCCACTGTGCGATTTAGAAGCTCTTTTCTTCCTCGCACAACTTCCTTGTGGAATCGATTACCATCAGCGATTTTTCCGTACCGATACGACTTAGGCACCTTCAAGAAAAGACCCTACTCCTTTTTAAAAGGCCGGCAACGCATCTGCGATTCCCCTGGTGTTGCGGTTGTTCATGGGCGGCGGTAGTCACTTACCATCAGGTGAGCCGCATGCTCGTTTGCCCCCACTCATATAAAAAAAAATCTGTAACTCTTCCTCTATCTCATTAATTTTCATCAACTCACCTTTTACATAGTTGAGTAGACGTCGAAGACGTCTCGTATAGGAGCGACATCGAACGTGCAGCCGACAAAATGACTAGAGTGCGCGTGTCTGATGCGACATAAGAAAAAATATCTTATAACATGTATGGTCTCACATAACAACTAATGCGACTGAATTTCTTATAAGACATTTCTCATAAGACACAAGAAATTTTCTTATAATGTGCAAAAGGGCTTAATTTACTCACCTACCTAGTAATGCTTATCACTACTACTACACCAGTGTATACGTTACTTAAGACTATACAATTTCGTAACATAACGAAAAGTTACGAAATTATTAGTGAAAAGTAACGTTAAATTAGTTTTTACATCAAAGCCTATCGTTTACAAGCCAAAGTTTATCGTTTACATGAAAGCATATGTTACAATCAGTCTGTTCAACATTAAATATATTTAAAAAATACCCATAAGAAAAGTCTACCGTTACTAAATTGTTACAATATTATTTAGGCACAACGCGTAAGCTTCAAGTCTTGTTGTCTTTTAAATTCAAATATTTTTTTTAAATTCAATATGGCAGCTACAGCTAAAAATGGACCAATCAGAGATGGCCGAGTGTTACTAGCGTATTAAATTCAGAATGCTTTCAGAAAGTGAATACCATTTCCTGTATATAATGTACTCTGTGGTGAATACACTATCGAGCAATTATAAAAAAAAAATAGTGTTAATACGCTTGTATAAGGAAATTGTAAAAAAGTCGTGACATGTTATTATTGCAATTTGTTTTATTTTTATTAGTAAGTCTAAAAAATTTATGATTACACCGAATAGATTAGAATTTACTATAAAAGATGAATATTGTAAAAAATAAAACAACATAAAAGAACTTTATGTAGTGAGGCGGGAATCTTGTGGGGAGCAGCAGTGACATTTCATATTTGTATGAAGGTTAAAAGGCAGTGTAAGAAAAAAATATCTAATAAATAATTAGGACGAATTAGAACATTCTAATATCGTTTTGATAATGAATGAAGTGCTAAGCTATTTTTATTGATAAGAAAAAATGGAAGGCCACTTCCTACACATTTTAAAATAATGTTTAAATGTTAGTGACGTACTTTATTTCGAACAGGTACAATTATTTTGAAAAATAATGTATAATATAAAAATGAATCGCTGAATGTGTTGCTAAGCGCAAATCTCGAGAGCAGCTGAACCGATTTCGCTAATTCTTTTTTTATAATATTCCTTGAAGTACGAAGATGGTTCTTACGGAGAAAATTTTAAAAAATTGCCTGAAAAAGAATAAAAACAACACTTTTCTATATTTCCATACAAAAGATTCGTAATAATACTTAAGTCAATTTGAACTTTAATACCATACCATAAAGTTTAAGTGTTAGTGGAGGGGTTCCGGGAAGGCGAAACAATTATAATTTTTATTTTTGACATAATGTAATTGTTGACTTATCAACTTTCTTTTTTATCTTACTAGCTGACCCGGTGTCCCGAATAGCAGAATTAGTATTAAAAAAAAATTAAAGAATTGACTGTTAGGCGGTACGAAGTTCGCCGGGTCAGCTAGTAATATATATTATTTGCAATGTTCATTAAGTTTCTTTCGTTATGTTCATAGGATACCAATATAACAAGAATGTAAAAATAAAACGACCTTGGAAATTTTACTTTTTATAATTTTTCCTCTTAACATACTTATGGGTTTTAAATTTATCAAAGGCAATTTGTTGAGGTGCACACATCTGTCTCACAAGATTTTCTTGTTTGGCCTAAAGGTCTAGATGCCAGGCCATAAACTCCAAAAAAAATTTTCTTGTACACCTCGTTCTAAAATTTTATTTATTATTTTGCACCAATTATGGACATGGGCGCGAATCATTAAATTAAGAAACCATTCCTTTACTTCCGTTTTATGTGTACATCCTAACCAATTTTTATTTAATTTTAAGTTTTTCTACACTTTTTTGTCAGCATACTTACTTAAGAAATCATGTATAAGGCCCGAGATATCTTTGATGAACGAGTTAAATGGTTATGTTTTAAAAGAGTATATTCTCGTTGTTCGACCCATTTATGAAATACATCTCTTTTTGTTTGGGTGTAAGTCTATGAGCATCTCAAGTTAAATTTCATTCTATCACTCGACCCCGTCATCCCCTTCTAATCTAACCTGTCAGAGTCAAGTCTACCCCAGCCTATGAGTTTGGTGTACATACAATATGTAACAAAAACCCTGTGGTTCCCGTTAAGTACATTATCAGGATCATTATTCAATCGTATAGAAATAACTTTTTTTTAAAATTTTATTTTATTTAAAAAAAAATAATTGTATGCAAATTTTATATGGTTTTATTACCTCTGCATTGTCTGGGGTGTAAGAGGATTGTCAAAGAGCCCGCTTTACTTAGCTTTAGCATCGGCTAGTGTCAGTAAGAGGTAATAAAACCACATAAAATTTTAAAATTTTTTTTTGATAAAATAAAAAAAATGGTCGTATATTAAAAAAAAAGGTATTTCTTATTAATTATTTAAACTGCATCCATGTTGCAGCATCATCATGTTTAGAAATAAAAAGTTGTGAAAGATTGTATAACATATATTTCAGATTACATAAATGTTCCTTTAATGACGATACTTCTTCATATTTTTTTTAATAGCAGCATAGCTTTGCAGGATGAGAACCTGCAGTTTTGAAATCGGTAAGAAAGAATATCATCTCTTTCCTAAAGTCAATTAATTTAAATGTTTCTTCTCGTTGTTTTCTTTTGGATCCTTGGGGGTAGTATTGCGTTGCCGTGTCACCTCGGTATCTTATTTCACAAGATCGGGCTGGCAGCTAGCCAGACAAACTTTAACCTCAGACAGAGATCTTTGAACGTTCATAATGTAAAAACCAATTTAATGAGGTCTGTAATGCAGGTGTTTCGAACGTCGAGTAGGATAAAACATTAAGAGCCTGTGCCCTTTACTCGAGGGGGTGAGGTGTGGGATGTCACTAACTGAAAAACACTGCTAAACAGTTCGCACAAATTATGACAGAGTTAAATCCCTTAACTAGTGCATAAGATTGTCTCCTCTACTGTAAGACACTTATTTATATTTCATTGTTAGCACTTTTAAATAAAATTAGAATGACAAGTAATAGTCGGAGAGCTGGCGACGAATTTTGGGAAGGTCCTTTTGGCAAGTTGAAATTGTGACAAAATATAATTTCGTCAATTGGCGAATCCAGTCCCGCGAGTCTGACAGAGCGTTTGCGGTTATTTCGTTACTGCGCATCATATAACATTTGCAAAAAGAATATCCAAAAAAATGTATTTTTGGAAACTTGATTTCTTTTTATCTTCTAATTTAGTTTTTATATAATTTAAAAAAAATAATCCCAGACTTTTTTTTTGGAGTTTATGGCCTGGTATCTAGACCTTTTGGCCAAGTCTTAAGTATTTTTATTCGGTTTATTGTAATTTCCCCACTCCTTCATAGTATACTGCTTCACAATATGTTGATGCGTCACATTGTGCAGTTCTTGGGAGATTTTGGCGGCAACTTGATCCAGCAGACAGCTGATAGTTGGCGATGGTATCTAAAGGTGCCTATGCAAACAAACAGCTTATCTTGAGAATCCATCACCATCAGAGCACTTGTTTCACTGTTTCCACTAATAGTTCACATGCGTAGACACTTAATACACAAAATCGCAACACTTTTACATATCAAAGTCCACTTCAAACCATTATTTAAACAATAATACAGGAGCAGCAAACCGCTGCCGGTCAATTTCCCGCCAAAACTCCCCCAGACTTTTTGTCCGTTATAAAGTATTACCAGAAATATTTTATTAAAATTCCCAAAAAAATATACTTTTGGTAATTTCAAATTATTATCACATATTTATTGAGTAATTAATAATACCCACAAATCGCCAGACAAATTTAACGGTTTATTTTACCTTATATCTCAAGTAAAAGATTTTACTCTAGTGTGTATTTTTAAATAATATTACAATGAATTTTTTGTTATACATCTACTATTCACAGATATTACACAAAAAAAGTTTTTATCCGGTATGTATTTTCATATGCCTTTGCAAACTACTTTTTATAATACATCTATATTCACAGATATGACACGAATATGGTTTTTCTCCGGTATGTATTTTCATATGCCTTTGTAAATCACTTTTTGTAATACATCTACATTCACAGATATGACACGAATTAGATTTTTCTTTGGAGTGTTTTTTAATAATATGGTATTGCAAATTCCCTTTTGTAATACATCTATAGTCACAGATATGACACGAATAAGGTTTTTCTCCGGTATGTATTTTCATATGCGTTTGCAAACCACTTTTTATAATACATTTATATTCACAGATATGACATGAATAAGGTTTTTCTCCAGTATGTATTTTCATATGCCTTTGCAAATCACTTTTTGTAATACATCTACGTTCACAGATATGACACGAATAAGGTTTTTGTCCAGTATGTTTTATCATATGCCTTCGGAAGTTGGTTTTATCTGTACATTTATAATCACAATTATTACAACAGTACACTTGTTTAGCGACGTGCACTTTAATATGTGCCAAAATGCAACGTTTTTGAGATGTTTTAAATTCGCAAATATCACAGTTAAACATATCTGTTAGTTTTGGTACTGGAGTTTGTTTAACTTGTGTCCGAACTGCATCCGAGTTCTTTTGCGTCTTATGACTGTATGACATGTGGTCGGCGAGAACATCTTTTGTTGAAATTTTTTTACTACAATCGTCACATTCAAAAATGTATTTTGTTGATGTTTTTTTCCTAAGTATATTTACACCCTTTTGTTTTAAAATTTTCTTTTTCATAATATTTGCAGGATGTTTTCCTTTTTTATTAATTGGTTGATTATCTCTTTTCACTTTAGAGTTTGATGTTGGGCCTTCAAAATCGAGGTTTTCTTTACGTACTACGTTTATGTTACTATCAGTAGAATTTGATTGAATGTTCTTCGCAGACAGTTCTAGTAAATGATTTGTCGGTGTGACGTATTGTTCTGAAATAAACACGAATCAAACATTTTAGTTATTGTAAGACATTGCATATTTATTGTAAGACGAGGCGACTATTGGTTTGCCAGAAAAATCTGATGGCTTGCGACAGATGGCGGTATAACCAGTTCGTTTACTTCACATGTAAAATAGCCAGACCGGCGACGGGTAGTATTGTCTGAGGTGCTCACGTCTGGTTCTGCGATCCTCAATGCTATGCCAAGCGTGGCGACTGAGGCAAATCCTCCCTACATCGGGAGAGGTCCTTCCATGTTCAGCAGTGGAAGTTTACGGGGCGATTAAGATAGAGGAATTATTTGAAAGCAATGCAAAGACTCAAAACAAGCCCTGGTAGCTCATGGGATAGAAGTTTGACGTAAAATTTCAAAAAATTGTCAATTTTACAATGTCACCCTTATTGTAAAAAAAGGTGACATTTAGGTATGTAACTATTAGTTCAGATACCAATCGGGTCATTGAGACAGTACATCATACTTTAATGAATGGGATACGATCGTGGTGAAATTCCAAGCCATACTCCGCGCGCCCCGCTGATGCCCAGGTATTATTAGATAATAAAAGTTAGAGGAGTTTTAGCGGGAGCAAGGTCACAACTCTGTTGCGGGAGCTTCACCGCCGGCGGAATGTTTTATCGTTTAAATTATAGTTTGAAATGGATTTTGGTACGTAAAAGTAATGCGATTCTTTCTTTTTTGAATGAGGAGGCAAACGAGTGTACAGCTCACGTGATGGTAAGTGACCATCGTCACCCATGAAAACATCTGCATCACCAGGTGAATTGCAGGTGTGTTGCCGGTGTTTAGGAAGGCCGATATTTTTTTTTAACAAAGACTCGATTTCAGACACAAATATGTTCCGGCACTCGTAGACGTGTTCCAGAGAAATATTAAATCGTCCGGTATATAAAGCGTCACCAGTGCTGTCGTCTGCATAACAATGAATGTCACTAGTATGCAACATATCTGTGCCGGACGGGCGAAACTCTCCGGAGTAAAGTGGGAAAAGATACTCCGCGAGTCGCTCACGTCCCACACCTATAGGCTCCGGAGGATACTTCTACTGCCGTCTTTGAGGGTGCACCTGGAATACTGTGGACTGAGGTTCAAAATTAAAATGCACGATCTATAAAATACAAATGGCAAGGCAGTGGCCAGCGGTTCGACTGATCAATTATACGCGAAAATCTTTTAACTATTGTTTATTGACCACGGTTGTTGAATACGGTTGTTCAACTACGGTTGTTCACTATTAGTTGGGCACTATATTTTTCAAAAGATTACTTCAAATTATTTGGTAGTATCAAATATCTATTAGTAGTAGCTGGTTTTATTAACACTGTCTGACTAGCAGCTATTATCAACTAAACTAGCTATTTTTATTACTTGTGTAACTGCGAATATCAGTTACCACTTTCTGTGACTAGCTAACACTTTCAAATATGTAACTGCGAATATCAGTTACCACGTTATGCGACTAGCTGTCACTTTCAATATGTAACTGCGAATATCAGTTACCACGTTATGCGACTAGCTATCACTTTCAATATGTAACTGCGAATATCAGTTACCACTGTTTTCAACTAGCTATCACTTTCAATATGTAACTGCGAATATCAGTTACCACTGTTTTCAACTAGCTATCACTTTTAAATATGTAACTGCGAATATCAGTTACCACGTTATGCGACTAGCTATCACTTTCAATATGTAACTGCGAATATCAGTTACTACATTCTGCGACTAGCTAACACTTTCAAATATGTAATAATGCGAATACCTGCGAATACCTTATGCGACTAGCTATCACTTTTAAATATGTAACTGCGAATATCAGTTACCACGTTATGCGAGTAGCTATCACTTTTAAATATGTAACTGCGAATATCAGTTACCACGTTATGCGAGTAGCTATCACTTTCAATATGTAACTGCGAATATCAGTTACCACTTTCTGCGACTAGCTATCACTTTCAATATGTAACTGCGAATATCAGTTACCACGTTATGCGACTAGCTATCACTTTCAATATGTAACTGCGAATATTAGTTACCACATGCGACTAGCTATCACTTTCCAATATGTAACTGCGAATATCAATTACCACGTTATGCGACTAGCTATCACTTTCAAATATGCAACTGCGAATATCAGTTAGCACGTTATGCGACTAGCTATCACTTTCAATATGTAACTGCGAATATCAGTTACCACGTTATGCGACTAGCTATCACTTTCAATATGTAACTGCGAATATTAGTTACCACATGCGACTAGCTATCACTTTCCAATATGTAACTGCGAATATCAATTACCACGTTATGCGACTAGCTATCACTTTCAAATATGCAACTGCGAATATCAGTTACCACGTTATGCGACTAGCTATCACTTTCAATATGTAACTGCGAATATCAGTTACCACGTTATGCGACTAGCTATCACTTTCAATATGTAACTGCGAATATCAGTTACCACGTTATGCGACTAGCTATCACTTTCAATATGTAACTGCGAATATCAGTTACTATGTTATTCACTATATTCAGCTACTAGTCACTTCAGCTACTACTGGTTACTACTGCTTCTTACTGATAGTTCTTCACACGACAATTTTACTGGGTCCCGTGACCCTAAGGTAGACTTGAGCTAAACTTTATAGTGAGCCGCTTGCCATTATCCGTTTTGCCTCTTTATTGCATAACATTTTCACTATACAATTGGCATAAATTACAATATTTTCTATACAAGATCAATTTCTACACTAACATGCTATAAATTATTAAATCGGCAATTCAGTTCTTTATTAATATATCATAAAGGTTACTTAATACATTAACATTATAAAAAGTTATTAAACAAAATGTCCCGAATTTTCATAATATTTGGGTACATTAATTTTTTAATTTTACTATAAATAGGAAATGAGTATAAAGGCTACTGACCTGCCTGCGGCGGGGGCAATTTAGGGTGTAGAAGTGGGGATGACCCTTAATTGCCTCCTTAATTATGATGTGTGTAGGCAAGCAGGGGCAATTTTTTAAGTCGGCCCTGCGACCTTCGATATTGCTCCGATCGCTGTGCTTCCTAGATTGCCCCTGCGGCAGGCAAGTCAGTAGCCACCTTAATTATCCAAATATTCTTTCATTTCCTTGACATATAAACGTTATGGTAATTTAATGTCATATTTATAATTTTTCAGAACATAAAAATTATTCCCATCATTTTCGGAATCAACTATTACGCAGTTAATTTAAAAACTTCTAGAAAGTTCTACGATACGACGCGCTCTGATTGGCGACTTTTCTTTATACAATAAAAGTTGTTTATCTTAACTATTATCAAAACGACATCCTATACTATATTAGGGTTATAAATATGCTGTAAAACTATATTAATACACTTTTCACTCAGTTATGTCGGTAATTTCACTTTTAATATTGTCTTTAATCACTTCGTTTTTAAACACTATTTGGCCGTCGCGAACAATATCATTGATATGCAGGAGGCACAGGGTGGGCGATAGGACGCAGCCTTGAGGGACACTGGCACTCACGGGCTTGGAGTCGGAGCATGCACCGTCGACTACGACCTTAATACTCCGATTTGTAAGAAAACTGGAGACCCAACTGCATATTTTCTCGTGAAGCTCATAAGAGAGAAGCTTCGAAAGAAACGGTTTGTGCCAAACTTGATCGAAGGCCTTCACTATGTCCAAACCAACCACTAGGGCCTCCCCTTGATCTCGACTGCCTCCACTGTATCTATCGGTGACTCAGGTAGTCAAGAAAATTACTAGCTGACGATGCTCGACGGAAACCGTACTGACGGTCACTAATCAGCTTATACTCTTCAAGGTACCGTATGAGCTAGCAGTTAATAAAAGATTCCATTATTCTGGAGAACACTGTGATGGCGATGATATGCCTGTATTTGGATGGCTCCAAACGGACGGTACTCAAATTGACTGTATGTTTTATTTTTATTTTTATGTGTGTTACCTCATTACTTTTTCTGGGTGAACCGATTTCGATGATTCTTTCATTTGAAAGCTGGTGCTTCACATGTGGTCCCATATAAATATGATCAAGGTGTGCTCAATAGTTTTTGAGTTATTCTTAATCATTTATATTGAAGTCGGTTGTACAAAATTTTTATTTTAAATTATTAGGGATCGGGTGCACTAAGGGATGAGCCGTGAGTTTGGAACAACGTCTAAACAGTAAGAGAACATGACATAAACTTAAAAATAACATGAATATAACACAACAACTGCAATATAACTTTGTAATATTATTTTAAAGTGTATATAAATAATAAACAAACTATAGCTTTACGTTTTCCTTTGCAAGGCAGGCAGAGAGGTTTTTTAGATAATAGTTATTGTGGAAAATGTTTTGATAACATCTAAACAAAGATAAATGTTAATGCACAGATTCGAACTATAGAACAAAATCCACAGACACAAAAAAGTAAATTGACAGTCAGCATATTTAATGTGTTAATTGAAACAGCTGATATCGTTAGCCTCGTTGCTGCGAGTTTGAGGAATGGCTGAGTTAAATTTGAAATATTTTGTATTTAATAAGCTAGAAATCGGTGAACTGTTGCAGTTTTATGTCATTTATATGTGGTAGAGCCATGCAGTAGCTATATTAGAAGTATAGTTGTAGCACAAATGAGTCAGCTCGACCGGGGAAAGAAATTCATCATAACCACCATAAAGGAAGAAGAAGAAGATCGGGGAAGGTCCACGCTCTCAATGAATACCAGCATAAAATAGCAGCTTAAGACTGCTGTGTTTCATATGGTGATTGTAGAGAACCGGAGACCCTTTTAACTGGAAAAGAGGCATTCCATCTTAGTCCTCACGGGTAACAACGCATCTGCATTATGATTCTTTATTGAGGATAGATGTAGATGTCTATGGGTCACAGCAACCACTTACCATCATGTGGACTGTGTGCACGTTTGTTACACTATGCTGCTATAAAAAAATTATTTATTGTATATTTACATGGTAACTTTGGACAATGATCTAAAACAGAAATTTTTTTTAGTTTACATTAATTTATTGTATATATAATAATACTACACATTTATTATAACAGGTTTTTTATAAATAAATTCTTTTACCTATGTCTTTGTTCTCTCTTTTCCTGCCATTCTTTTTAAATTTTGCATTTATAGATTGCTCTTTACTCTTTGAACCAAATGCAATTAGTGGCAAGTCGTCCTCCAAATCCATCTGTCTATCTTCAAAAGCATCAATCTCCAAGTCTTCTTGTTTTTCAGCAGTCTCTAGAATGAAACAGATATTGACTCAATATATAATAAAATAAAAACTGATATTTTTTCCAAGCGACTAGATCATTACAGTCCATCACACAGCTTATGGGCCTGAGTCACCCTCTTTCATTACCATACTGCATGTTTGATGAGCTAAGTGTAATAAGCTAAAGTAGCAATGGGCCGAAGAACTGACAATCGATGGAGAAGAATGATTCTCGAGTGTCAGCCTCGTACCAGTAGCTGAAGTGTAGGGCGACCCCGCACTAGGTGGAGTGACGACCTGGTAAGACATGCAGGTGGCTCAGGCCCGTGCTTTGTGGCATTCCTTGGGGGAGGCCTATGTTCAGCAGAGGACGTGTGAAGGGCTGTAATGATGATGATAATTGATTGACCTCATTTTGTGAGTGTTCTGCCACAACTTGCTTTTAGTAGGTAAGTGCTTGCCGGTATAATGATGCCTTGCACCTTTCGCCATATTTTTTAAAAATATAAAATGGCGATCAAAATAACCGTCCACCTAATGCTATATAGCCGATCCACCTGATGGTAAATGGGTACTGCAGTCCATGGACTGCTTGCAGCTAACTTCAAACACAAAAGGCTACAATGCACTGTCACCTATGACGATTAAGATGGAATGCCCCACAGCCTGTGATCATACTGACTCTATACTCTTCAGACACAGCAGAGCACGCAATGCCATTTGACGGCACAAGTAGATAAGAGCAGGAGGGAGGAGTCCACCTGGGTAGGCTCAAATAGTTCAACTCCTAGACAATAATGGGGGCACAGCACCAGTACTAATGACAATAAGAAATTGGCAAAGATAGGTGGTTGCTTACCAGTTGTAAGTATATCATTAATTACTAGAAATAGAAATTAATAACAATAATAACATCTTAGTGACATACATACTGGCTGCATTAATACAGGGTCAAAATATATGTAAATATGTTTATACATAAGTAAAAGAAAATATCTAACAAAGCTCATTATGATGTCCACGCATGCTAACCTTTAAAAAAATTATTTAACTTGTTATTTTCTCTATGAGAGTACACACTCTTTGAATTTAAGCAAAGGAAAATCAATAAATCAGTATATTGCATAAAATGAAGCCCTCTTTATTTTGTGTTCATGGGCTACAGTAAGCACATACCATTAGGTAAATTATACCTTATTTTAATAATATCACAAAATGTGTATATCTTACCTGTTTCATGATTCCCATTTTCTTCAAATTTGAAATTCTCATTTTCTAAATTCTCTTCCTCGACTTTAATGGAGTCAATGATAAAAATTTCGTCTTTACAATTATTTTCTATATCACACTCCACTGGCCTGATATCTATATGACAAATTGATGTGAATTGAATCTTATCTCTAGCTTCATGAGGTTTTGTTGTTGACTGAAACCAAACTCTTTTTTAAAATACGAGAAAAAAGCCAGTGTAGTTGTGGCGTAGGAGAATCCATACTACCCCATACTGTCCCACAGATGTTGTAAAAAGGGACAGAGGGAAATTGAACAGATGGGCAGCAGCATCTTCCTGACAACAACTCCAAATAATAATAAAATCCAGACAAAAATAAGGGTTCCGAATAAACTCAAATAAGAATGTAGATAGTTCATCCATTCCGACAATCGAGTCTCAACAATTTTTCAAATCAGATTCACAAATTCTGTAAATAGACAAAGATTTATCTTTGTTTATTGAGTAATATTACATATAGATAAGATTTTGTTTATATACAATAGAGTAATATATAACAGTATAAACAGTTTATTTTTGTTAAAATAAGTACTTTTCTTACTGTCATTCGTAAAATACTAAACATCGCTCTATCACTCTTGGATTGAAGGACAAACTTAACTTTGCAGTAGAAAAAACATTCTTCCATATGGCAACAGGAAGCAGTATAGAAAGCACGAGACAGGTAGTGATCATCAAGATACTTGCCAGCATCTTCATGATAATAACCTACCAATCGTGGCAAATTGGGCAAAATCCCTCTAATGAAGCAATCTATGACGGCGGAGTCCACTGTTGAACATAGGCCATGTTCAACAGTGGACTTTTATATGTTTTAATGGATGGAATGGAAACTAGACTAATACCATGGACCCTCCTGCAAGCAACTGCTCCAGAATTGCATTTGATTCAATAGCCTGTTGTTGTAATCTTCTGCAACGAATAAGTCTTGCATGACAGGTGAAACAGACAATTATGGGCCCCTCATTCTCATCCATCTGAAAATATGAAAGTTCAAAATTCTCTTCATCAACATCATTTTTATAACATTGAAGTGACAAACAAACTTACAATCCACCTGATGGTAAGTGGCTACTGCAGCCCATGAGCACCTGCAACCAACTTCAAGCAAAGACTACAGATGCAGTGTTACCTCTGAGGACTAAGATGTAATGCTTCACAGCCTGTTATTACACTGGCTCTCAATGACCACACTAGGACACATACTGCTGCTTGGTGCCAGAAGTAGGTAAGAAGATGATATGTACCCAGACAGACTTCTGGAGAGAAAAAAGTCCTATCACCTACCACCCAGTGAATCATCATCACTGCAGCAACACAGTCCTAAGTCATGTATATCCATCAACTTCCTGTATTACCAGATTGCCACTGTCTAGTGGGGGGGGGGGGGGGGGCACTCTACAACTTGCTTACTAATATGATGCTACCACTTGAGAATTATGTTTCTCCACCTGTTGTTAGTTGTGCAAGCTATAAGGACACAATTCTCTAATCCATTTAAATGTTGTGTGTGTCAAGTGCATAGCAGTCTCTGTGACATTAACAGATGTAATTTTAATAGCAGTAGCTTAGACTCGTGAGACCCTGACAGAGGTATTATAAAGTTCGACATTTTGAAATTCAATCCTTCCAAACCTACTTTCAAATTTTAACTTCAAACTACTAGCAACACTATTAACATTATTACAAATACTTCTTTTAAGTTAACTGAAAACGCTTAAGGTAGGAAGAATTTACTACAAAACAGCTGCTATTTTATGCTAGTATTTTGTAAGAGAGTGGTGCCACCCCAGTCAAGCCGACACATCTGTAATACAACCATAATATAGCTGCAACTTGGCTCAACCACATTTAAATAATTATAATAATGTCCTACAGACAGAATTTCAATCACAATGGATACTATTCATTAGCCCAGGACAGGATTAAATAATTTAAACCTGTTAAAGTGTGCAATTACTGCATCTATGGAAGCAAGCACAAGTGCACATATTTCTCTCCTTTGATAGGAATATGAGAACTGATTGAAATAATATGTAATACAACAGACAACGCAAACAAAATCTATGCAGCAGTGCAGGTCGCGTGGAAGGAGGCACAGGGTAACTTTTTATGGTACTGACTCAGTAAGTTTGAGCCCGTCGGCTCTAATACTTATTGCAAACAAAGTCTCGGCGTCTCTTCTAGTATGTAACACTAACATATTACTACAATAATAATATTGGTTTTAGTGCTACCCAGAATACCAGGCTAATTATTGTTTTTCGGGTTCTCGTTGTATTTAACAACAAATTACCTATTCCTACTTTAATTCGTAATATTTAAGAAATAAACAAACTTACAAATCTATTCGTCAATGTTTTATATAAATTTTGGAGGCCAGTCTTCTTTAGAATAAACATGCGTACATTAACGCTTAAACAAATTCTACAAATTTCACTAAAGGCCATTTCTGTTTCCTATAGCTTTAATATAATTGAATTCTCTTTTTCTTCAATAAACCGGAGTTTTTCTTCTTCTTTTCTTTTTTATGGCGGTTTTTGTTTATTCGCCAATAACAGCGTGAGTGTTTTATTGAGTAGAAGCTCAGTAGTTACAAATACTATGCCCATGTACAAAAGAAGATTGTGATAATACAAGTATCTTATTTTCTTTAAACTAATTAAATTTTGCTTTTTATCTTGTAAACCTAGTGGAAAACTATTGGTTGTACTGTTGAATTCACAGAATACTTTACTCCAAAGAGTATAGTAACATACGTTAGTATCATATTAGTCTGTGATAGTAACTGTCTGTCCTATACCTACAGGAATGAATTAGAGGAGAACCATCTTATAAGGTGCGACCATAGATAAGAGTGTATATACGGAAATAGATAAAAATCTCTAACGTAAAAAATTGCCGCGACAACAGCGCCGCCTGGAAGCTAGTTTATTAACTACTACTTCAACTATACATAACTATAGATATTATAATATATACCTGTTCTGTATACATACTACTATTATATTGTTATTTTTAAGTATTTTGTCGATTTCTAAATAACAATAAAAAAACTGTGTTATTTAGAAATCGGCATAAATACTCTCGATAAAATGTGGGACAAAAAGAAAGATTTTTCGTATATTTAACGTTTTTATTTCACAATTTTAAATGATATGTTGAAAATAAAATTCTAACAAACGTGAGATGTTATAAAGTTCCATGTTGTCTGCACATATGTAAAGTAACCATAGACTTAGCATCTAAAAGACCAATGAAGCGTGGAAAAGAGACATCATTATCCTTAAGCACACTTCGTGAGAGGGAAAGAGATGCACAACAAAGTACCGTTATGTCAATGTTTTTTCGAGTAAGAGGCCATAGCGTCCCGCTAGCTTGCGTGCGATAGTCTATTTTATGAATTTCTTTCAAAATCTTTAAGAATTAAGGGTAAATAGTGTTTTGAACAGATATGGTATCTTGTTGTGTAAACGATTGTGACGTGACAAGAAGAAATAACCCAAATAAATACACGTTTCACAGGTAATTATGATATATTCATTGGAATATTTAAAACCTTATTGTGTGAAATTACTGCTATTTAATATCTTCAAAACGGTTTTATATTATAGAATATTGCATTTCCTTACTATAATTATATATATTTGTTAGGTACGATTACAATTGGAGAATATTTCATGTAAAATATATAATTGCATGCTTACACTAGAGCTTGACCAAATGGTGACGTCATAAGTTTCCATATCGAGTTTATCAAGTCAATGGTTTCAAAAAGTAATTTGTACTGACGATAATTAATAATTATTATGCGTAGTCTATTTGTGATTACGTGACTTTTTTATTTTACATTCCAAAATTGGAAACTCGTGTCTCGCATGTATATATGCCTGCATTTCTATAGTTAAAATACTTATTAGAAGTATTAATAATATAAGTAATAATTATGCCCTCCTTTAAGGTTTCCCCGTGGACTTGAGTTACGTGAAAAATGGATACGCATAATAAACAGACCCCAATGGACTCCATATAAAAATTCAACAGTCTGCAGCAAACATTTTGAAGATAAATGTTTCATTCAAAGAAAGTGCCGACGTGTATTAATGAAAGATTCAATACCTACTTTATTTGTACCTGTAAGTATACTTAGAAAATTTATTTATTAATGCCTTATTAATCTATCTATTATATTCATTTCGTTTAGTAGGTACATGAGTGAGGTAAAATATGTTTACATTTATTGCAGATCAAACTGAAACCTAGAAGATTGGCGTCATCATATGTTAATAGAGACATTACTGTTCCATCTAGAGAACTAGAACCGTATGCACACACAACTGCTGGTCATTCTTCAACCCTATTACTTACACCACGAAAAAAGAAACTTATGGAAAAAAACACGCGTTTAAGAAGAAAAATATTAGAAAAGAATAGGGTTTTAAGAAATTTAAAAGCAAAAACTAAAAGGATGACGAAACGGATTTTAACTTTGAAGGAAGTTATTGAAAATTTAAACAACAGGCCAGGGCTCAAAAATCACCGAAATGAGGTTCAATTAGCGTGCGGTAACAATCTACTGCAAAAATTGGTAGACAGGGTGAACGGAAGAGCAACGCAACAAATCAGTCACACGGCCGAGTACGACGAAGAACTCAAAAAATTGGCTTTAACGGTTCATTTTTACAGTCCAAGGAGTTACAGTTACTTGAGGGATAAATTCGACTTATGTCATGTAAGTACACTCCGAAAGTGGTATTCGCGTCTAAATTGCGAGCCCGGGTTTACAAAAGAATCACTGAATACTTTGTCAGAGTTATCCAAACAAGGACCGCTTTTTGTGGCGCTGACTTTTGACGAAATTAAAATAAAAGAAGAGGCCGAAATAATAGGCAAAAAACATTATGGCTACGTTAACGTAGGGAATGATTTATGTGGCGACGAAGTAGAAACTTGGATTGCATTGCGGAACCTCCTGGGAGGACCATCTCTGTATATGAAAAGTGTCCCTAAAAACGCGACCAATAAGGGTGGCGCTGCAGTAGCATAGAATAAATTTAAAAAAAAGCGCCAAAATTAATTAGAATAAGATGGAGAAATAAACAAGGACCGACCAATCCGCTTGGTTTTATACTACGTAAATAGTTGAGGTTTTGTATACTGGCATTTTACTAACTACTCTAGTCATGAAATTTTTTAAATATTTGAATTCAGCTGACTTCACTCCGTTTACAACAGCTATATTCATATCGTAGTTTTTCAGACGTCAGCGCTATTGTGGTAGGTTTTGGAACCTCTATTTTCAGTATATAGTGGGACACTTTTTCAACTTTCGTACCTTATAAGATGGTTCTCCTTCTACTCTACACTCCATACCCTAGAACTAGAACCCCCATTAGATAAATATATATGTAGCAAGCTAGAGAACCCCTAGAACAAATGACAAACACACAACGTATTATATATTATAGTCACAGAACACTAATACCAGTAATGTCAGTAATATATAATGTACTCTATGACTAATACCCTTAGGCGGGAAGAATGTCAACTTCAAACAAAGAAAATGGCACCCATAATGCACGCCATCTCTGTCGTGCCCCCTAAAACTTTTTTGCGCGGGAATTTTGATACGCGATTTTTTTTAGTTGGCGTCTGGGTTGTTTCGTTTCAAAAATGGCTTAAGAATGTAAAATACCATATAGATAGATATAGCTTGTAGTTTTTCGTTTCAATGATATATATTGCTAAATTAAAACGAAAACGGTGAACGGCATAGTCGGGAAGGGTCGCCCTAGGCGAAAGTTTATCGACCAAATTGGCGATATATTAAAAATGGGCCAAATCAAGAGTACCTTTAACCGACGAGCGTGTATGCGTAGGTATATGGATGTGGAGGAAGCGAGAGAGGTGTGTCAGGATCGTGCCAAATGGAAGTCCATAATCTCTGCCTACCCCTCTGGGTGACAGGCGTGAGTGTTTATGTATGTATGTATGTAAAACGAAAACAAAAGCACAAAGTTATTTGGAAATTATGAAACTTTACATTCATAAACCACTTTTGAAACATTTAGCAATCATTTTAATATAAAAAAGGAACAATTTTTCAAGTAAAAGTGGTTTTTGAAATACATAATTTTTATTTACATTACATACTTGTCTACATTGGTACATAGAAAAACCGTTGGTACATTGATGGACGTAAGTGACGGAGTAATTAACTAATTTTTTAACTTTATGCATGTAAACAGTTCTCAACAGCTCTTAACTAAATATCGATTTAATAGTTAAGTAGTTATGTAAAGCAGAATAGTCTCTTTTTAAGAGGTAGGCGTGTTTTAGCGAAGTATAAGAAATAAGCATTCTCGTAACTTCGCTAAAACACGTGTCAACGATTATTAGTTTATAGCTTATTCACTACTTCATCACTTCACCTTTTAAGTAAACGGCATATTTAACATGACATGATTATAGTGCGCGCAAGATAACTGTGCGCGCGACTGATTTTTTTTTGTTTGGAGTTTATGGCCTGGTATCTAGACCTTTAGGCCAAGTCTTAAGTATTTTTATTCGGTTTATTGTAATTTCCCCACTCCTTCATAGTATACTGCTTCACAATATGTTGATGCGTCACATTGTGCAGTTCTTGGGAGATTTTGGCGGCAACTTGATCCAGCAGACAGCTGATAGTTGGCGATGGTATCTAAAGGTACCTATGCAAACAAACAGCTTATCTTGAGAATCCATCACCATCAGAGCACTTGTTTCACTGTTTCCACTAATAGTTCACATGCGTAGACACTTAATACACAAAATCGCAACACTTTTACATATAAAGTCCTCTTCAAACCATTATTTAAACAATAATACAGAAGCAGCAAACCGCCGCCGGTCAATTTCCCGCCAAAAACCTGCGCGCGACTGATGGTGTACTTAATGTTACCAGCTTAACTAATATTTTTTTCCTTCATTTAATCTTATTACTAGAATTATATAATTATATCAAATTACATAAATGACCGAATTGATTACCAAAGCTCAGTTAAAAAAAATGTAATGTTCAGCTTAAACTTACAAAGACCTAATAAATATTAAACCCTATATTTATTGTTTAAAATTCGCATAATAAATATATTTCTTGATTGTAACTTCCGTAAGTTTGACACAAGTATCTATGGTAAGATTTAAGTTAATATAAATAATTCCTTAAAAACATTTGAAAACGTTTAATTTATGCGAGTTTGAGAAAAAAAAAAAATTTACTTTTATTTTTGGTATTCTTCTCAGCAAAGTCTTTTATTTGGTATCCATATCATTGGAATGCACAATAAATAACTAGTCCTCCATCTTTGGAAGTCCGCCATATTAGATTTAGAATGAGGTCACTTATTAAAACACATCTAAACTTAACGTATATGCAAAATTTCCGCTCCATCGAGAACCTAAAAGTTGGTGAAATTAACCTTTCAAATTTTTTTTTCATAATTATAGGTGAAGATATTACATGCGTGTTAGTAATTATTATTATTATGATTAATGAACACTGATATTTTGTCTATAATGAATTTTTCAAAAAAGGTATTTTAAAAATATTTATTATAAAGAACGAAATCAAATGTCCATGGAAACCTTGTAAATCTTTTATTGAATACCTAGATCTATTTGTAAATTTGGTGTAACAATGGTCCTGCAGTGGGTCAACGCCACATCAACGTCAACGTCACATCTTCATCAGAATCCACGCTAGTCTTCATCAAAAGACTCGGACGGCCTGTGACATTAATTATAAATTTATCCATTTAAACTGGCACCGTTTGTATTCGTAGCCCATAGTCTTTAAGCTACTACTGAATGTTGTTCCGCCATATTTAAAATCAATTACAGCTTTCAATTCCAACCAGTTTATTTATGGCAGGAATCTCTTTCTTCACAACGTCAACGTCGTTCATTTAAATTTCTCATAGCGCCATGTATGAAAATCGTCTAAATCATAATTTTTTCCTCCAGTTCCAGACACAATTTTAAAAAATGAAGCTACTGCTACATTATGTACCCTCTTCAGTTATTTGGGTGACGGTGAGTTCAGAAACGCCTAAAACATAATAAAAACAATACATTATAAATACATGATATTAATGACACGACGAAACTTAAAATGAACAAATCGAGAAAATTAGGGAGTTTTATTTGTTATGGCAGCCCTAAAAATTTCCTGTGAAATATGAAACGTGGGCTCTAACTTTGAAAAACGGTACTGTAGGCCCGTTATTTTCTCTTTCTTCTTCACAAGCACGTTTGACCCTCAAGGTAATATCCCTGCCAGCAATTTTAATCACTTTCGGCATAATGATGACGATTATTTACTGCAAAAACGAATAAAAACACGACAACTGCCATAAATAGTAAGATGGCGGCACACGATTAGTTCCAATTTTGGCCGCGCGCAGAGTTATCTTGCGCGCACTCTAGTCTATAATCTATATGGTCTATGCACACAACTGCACATAGGGACATTCCGATACTAGTAAATACGAGTAGGTACTCGATACTTTTGATTCGATACCAAGTAACAATAGCATCGAATCAATCTTGCGATTAAACAAAGATCATGTTTAATGTCCATGTCACACCTATGCCGGTAGTTGTTGGGAACACTAAGCTCGAAGTTGTTGACGAGTATGTTTACCTGGGACAAATAGTCCGACTAGGTAAGTTCAACTTCGACCGAGTAGTCAATCGACGGAGTCAACTCGGTTGGGCAGCGTTCGGGAAATTACGGCACATCTTCTCGTCAGGTATACCTCAAAACTTGAAAACGAGACTGTACACCCAGTGCGTGTTGCCAGTGATGACATACGGAACTGAGACGTGGTCCTTCACTGCTGGCCGGATGAGGAAGCTCAAGGTCGCTCAGCGAGCTATGGAGAGGGCTATGCTCGGAGTTTCTCTGCGTGATAAACTCAGAAATGAGGATATCCGCAGTAGAACCAGAGTGACCGACATATCCCAACGGATTAGTAAGCTGAAGTGGCAATGGGCCGGCCATATAGCTCGAAGAACCGACAACCGATGGGGAAGAAAGGTTCTCGAGTGGCAGCCTCGTACCGGCAGGCGAAGTGTAGGGCGTCCCTCCACTAGATGGAGTGACGACCTGGTAAGATATGCAGGAAGTCGATGGATGCAGGTGGCTCAGGACCGTGCTTTGTGGCATTCTTTGGGGGAGGCCTATGTTCAGCAGTGGACTTGTGAAGGGCTGTAATGATGATGATGATGATGACCTTTCATTATCCTTCGGTAACTTAAAAAATGATATATCTGAATCCTGTTAATTGCTCATTAAAATATATTCATATAACATGTTTCTGGGTATAAGCTGCTCCTTTTGTTGGATTTTAATTCAAATTAAAAAAAATCCCAGGTGACTACCGATAAACGTACAAAATAACTCCCCAAGAATCAGATCGGAAAGTTGTATTTTCAAGTTATGATCTTTGGAGAAAAATATTTACTGCCATGGACAGTTTCCCCAGAATTTCTTGTTTAACATATTGTTAATATAAATAGGTAGATATTTAACTAAGTATATATCGATTTATACTTTATATATTTTTATAAAATGTTTTGATGGGGAAATAAAAAACTGGGACACGAAGTACATAATGGCTGCTTTATTTTTCATATAAGTATTACTTTTGATAGTTACAAACTTAATAATTAAATACATTATAGAAGTTAATTTTAACATTCGACTTAATTAAGACTGTAAACTTAATAATTTAAGTAAGGAAACATGTAGGAATCAGTTAAATTAGATTGCTTTGTTTAAATGCCAATATGTTTATGAGGCTTCATCATGCTTCATGTTTATATTCTTTTATCTGTCACTGAAAAGTATAAACTTAATCATTTTAGCTGCATGATTTTTAAAAACATAATGATCTTAACAGAGTAAAGTGCACCAAGTGTCTGAGGATACAGATGCATTCTCTATTCTCTCAATCTAAGTATGTTAAGAAAATGGTCACTCATTCATGGACTGACAGCAGCAAGTGCAACTTAATCTCGCAGATCTATTGATCCGCGCAGCTGTTACTTAACTACGAGCTCCTCTTCTCTACGACTAACGCTGTAGGCTATGAACCACGCTATTTAAGCGCACGGCACAATGTCGTCGGCCATCAAGCATGAATCGGGCACCGAGCGTTGTGAGTATCAAATACTATTGAATTGATAGTATCCTAGCACATTTAACCGCGCGTCTCATGCGCGAGAGTCTAGTGGCGCTTCAAGAGCATTACTAAATATATTATATCTAGCTACGCTAAAAGTTTTATCATTGTGACTTGGGAATATAATCCGAAGCTCCGCGCAACCCCTTGGGGAAAATAGCGTTATGCTATGAATATTGCACTAGTATATACTAGTGCAATATTCATAGCATATTTTTTGGTTGATAAATAGATACTAATATTGAAGCCATTATGAAGCCTCGCCGTCTGCAGTCCCGATATTCCGATAATCGTTGCACTCAATAGCTCGTAGGTCCTCGCTTACGAGCTTAATTCGATGAAGCTGTCAAGGCCGCAGGGTCAACAGCGTACACTTTCAGAAAAAAAAAAGTCTAGTTGGGCTTTATCTATTTATTAAACTATATTTTATAGAAGAATATATTCTATTAAGTATATATTTCGTTCTATTTTACTTATGCTAATAGTAAGTTATATTTAAAGTATTTATCTATTCCAACCAGATGGGAAAACAATAGAAATAGCCCAATAATATCTTTATTTGCATAAAACATGGCACATGGGATGTTTTAGATGTGTTAGTTGCTGCTATTTCACGCTGATATTCACGACAGCGTGGTTCTTCCCTGTTCAAACCGACCCATTGGTTCTATAACCATAATTTTGCTGCAGCGTGGCTCTACCACGTATAAACACACACCACTACACAGCATCATAACGTGACATAGTTATGTTGCTGTGTGCTCATGGTGTAAGGCAATCCACTATCCCATATCGTGTCACGGGTGTTTTAAGAGGTGACAGAGGGGAAATGAAACAACTCAACATTATAAAAAAACTATGAATAAGGAGATGAGACCGTGTAGTGGTGGTGTTAGAATATCTACTTCCCTATATCGTCTCGTTGGGGTCGTTAGAGGCGACAAAGAGAAACAAACTAGGAGATGGGCAGCAGCGTCTCCCTGATTATAACTGAAACTAATAAAAATCCACGGTTGGTAACCCACCTACATGGCAAATATGAAGCAATCCATGGGGGAAGCCCACGACCAGCAGAGGACTTTTATAGGATGTAACGGTAACGACAAACGTCGAAACGAAAAAAGAAAAACATTAAATATAATTTAAAAAAAAAAAAACATGAAGGTCTAGTCTGTTTCCACTTACCTCCCATTCAGTATATATTTTATTAATGTTCTATTTATTTTAGTTTTTGAATTAGCATCTTCAGAATAAATGCAGTTTTAAAGGTTTTTCTACTCGTTCTATAGTAACATAACAGTTTCACAAAAAATAGATTTTTATCTTTTACACTTTTACGTTATGTATAAAATACGTTTACATAATATTGTACATATTTTACCAGCTAGCTCACGAAAAAGGTTTTGCTCCGGTGTGTATTTTCATATGCCTTTGCAAATGACTTTTTAAAATACATCTATATTCACAGTTATTACACGAAAAAGGTTTTTCTCCGGTGTGTGTTTTTATATGCCCTTGCAAATTACCTTTTGTAATACATCTATATCCACAGATATGACACGAATAAGGTTTTTCTCTGGTATGTATTTTCATATGTGTTTTCAAATGAATTTTTGTAATACTTGTATATTCACAGATATTACACGAAAAAGGTTTTTCTCCAGTGTGTATTTTCATATGATTTCTTAACGTAGGTTTTCGTATGCATTTGTATTCACAGATATTACACGAATAAGGTTTTTCTCCGGTATGTATTTTCATATGTATTTGCAAACCCATTTTTGTAATACATCGATATTCACACATATTACACGAAAAAGGTTTTTCTCCGGTATGTATTTTCATATGATTTTGCAAACAACTTTTTGTAATACATCTATATTCACAGATATTACACGAAAAAGGTTTTTCTCCAGTATGTATTTTCATATGCCTTTGGAAATCACTTTTTGTAATACATTTATAACCACAATTATTACAACAGTACATTTTTTTAGCGATGTGAACTTTAAAATGTGTCAAAATGCGACGTTTTTGAGATGTTTTAAATTCGCAAATGTCACAATAAAACATTTCCGTTAGTTGTGGTAGTGTGGGTTGTTCAACTTGTGTCCGAACTGCAGTGGTATCAGAGTTCTTTTGCGTCTTGTGACTGTGTATGTGTTTGGCGAGAATGTTCTTTGTTGAAAATATTTTGCTACAAACATCACATTCAAAAATTAATTTTGTTGATGCCCCGGATGTTTTTTTCGCAAGTATATTTACACTCTGTTGTTTCAAAATTTTCTTTTTCATAGCCTTTGTAGAATGCTTTCCTTTTTTATTAATTGCTTGATTATCTTTGTTCACTTTAGGGTTTGATTTAATAGTAGGGCCTTCCAAATCGGAATTTTCTTCACGAAAATCGTTAATGTTACAATCAGTAGAATTTGATTTAATATTTTTCTCAGACAGTTCTGAAAAATTATTAGTCGAAGTGATGTATTGTTCTGAAATAAATACACACGAATTAAACATTGTATTTATTGTAAGACATTGCATCTTTATTGTAAGACACCATAAACGGTTTACAATGGGCGGAGTTTGTGCCTTATGGCATTCTTTATCAGTTAAGCCTTTATGTTATGCCTCTTGAAATTCTCTATCAGTCAAACCCAGGAGGAAATAGAGAAGTTATAGTACTTTTAAACATCATTCTAAATAATGTTACTAGATATAAAGTATTTTAGCCAATTACTACGAACAATGTCTCTCATATTCATTTTTGGAGGGAAAGAATTGTAAACAAACTAAATTCATATGATAATGATGACGTGCTTCTGACCATGTTATAATTACACTAATCTAATAATCGCTGTTGCGAATCCCACACAGAACTATAAGTAAATTGAGTTAAGACGACGTTTGTTTAAGACTCATTCTCATATATATAATATGTAGTATTATATTTTTTAATTATGGGTGCAGTCGAAATTGTCTGGCTACTGAGTAGGGATGGGCAAAGGGAAAAAATATATCGATATATATCGAATCTATATTTTTAAACAGTATCGATATAAATTACGTGATAAACATCGATATATCGATATATCGTCATCATTTGAATGATGTAAAGATAAGGGCCAAAATTTTATTTACTGACGGTTGGACGACGAAATAAACGATACAGCATTTTAAAATATATCGTAATTGATACGAATTCGATACTCTAAAATAAATATCGATATGTCGATATATCGCGATTTAAAATATGGACGATATATATCGATATTTTTATTAAAAAATATCGATATTTCGATATTTTTTGCCCAAGCCTACTACTGAGGAATCATCTTCTAATAGTTACCGGAGTAGCATATATAACATTCAGCTTTTCTACTATTGCCTTAACGACAGGTTAATCTACCGTTGTTTACATAAGACACGAAATTCATATCAGTCCGTTAAAAAATAATGAAATGAATTTGAAAATTAACTCCACGGAAAATTAAATAAAAGTGAAGTAAAAACTGTTAAGTCAAAGTAACATTGTTTGCGAGTGCGAAACCGTATAAAGAGGGCCCTTCCCGGTATGTCTATCATCAATGCGAGCAAAAAAATACATTTTTAAATTTTTTATCTGTGTCTCTGTCCGTTTGTTCCGGCTAATCTCCGAAACGGCTGGACCGATTATGACCGGACTTTCACTGGTAGATTGCTGATGTTATAAGGAGTAACTTAGGCTACTTTCATTTTAGAAAACGAATTAGGGTTCCGCGAAAAAAATTAAAATCTTTGAAATTGTGAACAAAATCCAATTCAAAGGTAATTAATAAATGGAAGTATAATAATAATATAATATAATATACATTCAACATAATTCGACGTAAACACTAAGTATAATAATAATAATATGTGTGAGTTAAACGTTAATTAATATTTTTTACTTTCTTGTTAGTTCGATAGATGTCGCTAATAGAAAATAATGCGTGCTATGGTTTGACTGTTCACGACAGTGTAAGTAAATTTTTTTTTTCTTAAAAAAATTCAATGTAAAGTTTGTATTTCAAGTCTCATTATACTATCGATTCGCTCTCGTCGTTTTTTTTTTGGGAGGACCTCACAGTAGGCGGTACAATATGTAATAATGCCTAGTACAGCGCGAAAGAAAAACATTATTACAAAGGCTACCCGTCGCACGGGCTCACCTCACTCAGAACCCGCGAGCTGACTTGCGGATGGTTGTGTCTCAACGCGCGCCCTATAAAATTATTTTCGACTAGCATATAGCTGATGTTATAAGGAGTAACTTTTATATTAGGAAAATATTCAGGGTTCCGCGCAAAAATATTAAAATATATCGTAACAAATCGCAATACATTCCACGCGGCCGCGTGGAGCAGCTAGTATATATAATAAAAACTGATATTTTTTCCTAGCGACTCGATTATTACAGTCCATCACGCAGCTTATTGGCCTGAGCCACCCACTTTCATTACCATACTGCATGTATCATAAGCCTAGTGTAATAAGTTAAAGTGGTAATGGACCCGCCATATCTCGAATAACTAACATCCAATGGGGAAGAAAGGTTCTCCAGTGGCAGCCTCATACTGGGAGACGAAGTGTAGGACAGCCGACATTAGACGGGAGTGACGACCTGGTAAGATATACAGGAAGTCGATGGATGCAGGTGGCTCAGGACCGTGCTTTGTGGCATTCCTTGGGGGAGGTCTACGTTCAGCAGCGGACATGTGAAGGGCTGTAATGATGATGATGATTCATTCACCTTATTTAGTGAGTGTTCTGCCACAACTTGTTTTTAGTAGGTGAGTGCTTGCCATTACACGGATGCCTTGAGCAAGGTGCTTCTGCATATTTTTTTAGTACGAAGTGACAAGCAAACTAACAGTCCACCTTACGATATGTAGCCGATCCACCTGATGGTAAGTGAGTACTGCAGTCCACAGACTGTCCGCAGCTAACTTCTAACATAAAAGGCTACAATGCGCTGTCACCTCTGACGACTAGGATGGCATATACTGACTCTACACCCTTCAGACTGGACCACAGCAGTACACGCACTGCTAATTGACGGCAGAAATAGATAAGAGAAGGAGGGAGGAGTCCATGTGGGTAGGAACACCTTAGTCGACCCCTAGGCAAAAATGGAATCCCACCACCTAGTAATGACACTAAGAAATTGGCAGAGATAAGTAGGTAGGTACTTACCAGTTGTAAGTACACCATACTGGCTGCATTTTATACAAGGTCATTACGATGTCCACATATGTTTATCTTTTAAATAATATTTAATATATTAATAATAATTATTTAAGAATATTTTTAACATACACTTTGAATTTAGGCAGAAGCAAATCAGTAATTCAGTACATTGCACAGGGAGGCCTCTTTATTTTGTGTCTATAGACTACAGTAACCACTCGCCACTAGGTAAATTACCTTATTTTAATAATATCACAAAATGTTTATATCTTACCTGTTTCATAATTCCCATTTTCTTCAAATTTGGGATTCTCAATTTCGAAATTCTCTTCCTCAACTTTAACAGATTCAAGGCTAAAAATTTCGTCCTTACAATCATTTTCTATATCACACTCTACAGGCCTGATATCTATGTGACAAATTGATGTGAATTGAATCTCATCTCTAGCCTCATGCGGTTTTGGTATTGTCTGAAACCAAATTATTATTTTGAATAAGACAAAATTTCCAGTGTAGTGGTGGCGTAGGAGAATCCATACATCTGGATCTGCCCCTTTTTATATATGGGGATACCGTCCTGATGTAATTAGGGACAGAGGGACACTGAAACAGGAGATGGCCAGCACCATGTTCCTGACAGCAACTCCAAAAATAATAAAAACCGGGCAAAAGTGAGGGTATATACGAATAAACTTGAAGAATTTAGATAGTTCATCCATCCCGAGAATGACGTTGACAAATGCCGTAAATTCATAAAGATCTATCTTTGTTTATTGAGTAATATTAACTATAGATAATATTTCTATTTATATACACCAAGGTAATAATATATAACCGTATAAACAGTAAGATAATTTTCTTAATAAGTACTCAACTTACTAAAATTGTTAAAATACAGTACATAGCTGTAACGAAAAAGTCAGTTGGATTGAAAGAAAAACTTGACTTTGCAATAGAAAAAATATTCTCCCATATAGCAACGGGAAGCAGCACAGAAGACACAAGAAAGGTACTGATCACCAAGATTCCTGCTAAGTGATGATTAAGGCAAATACTTCATTATAATGAGAATGACCCATCAAGCAGTGAACTTTTATTAATACGAAGTGCAATACTGTGGACTGTGTAGTTGCTATGCAAGAATATCCACTACGCTATATATCTACCCACGGGACGGGTGTCGTAAGAGGCAACAGAGGGAAACAGAAACAGGAGTTGGGCAGCAGCATCTTTCTGATACCAACTCAGACTAAATAAACTGCGGTTGCCAACCTGCCAAGGTTGGCAAAATACCTCCTAAATCCGCTATGAGGGAGGCCTATGTTCAGCAGTGGACTTTTATAGGTTGTGGTTGTGGTTTTCTGGAATAATGGGATAATACTATGGTTGATGGACACAGTGAATATAGGGACAACGAGGCAGCAGACGAACTGGCCAGAAGAGGATCGGCTCTGGCCACTATAGGGCCGGAACCAATCATACCAATCCCCATTGGTAACGTTTGTTCACTGGTACGTAGACACTTCACTAATCAACACGCTCAGCTTTGGAAAAATGTAGTGGACTGTAGGTAAGTTAGGGAGGCCCTGCCAGAAAAAAAAAGTTGCTTAACCAAAGCCTTAATGAGATTGAAAAAACTACAGACCAGGATAGCAACAAGTGCTATTACAGGACATGGCTCCTTTAACAAACACTTATTTACTATAGGTGTTACAGATAGTCCCCTGTGCAGGGCATGTATGGGTGAGAAGGAAACGGCGACCTACGTGTTGCTTGCTTGTCCAGAGGTCGCTACATACAAGGCTAAACATCTTGGCATACCGGCATCTCGTTAAGCCTTGCTTTTGGCAGCATAAATTGTTCACTACTTCTGGAAAAATTAAGCTATTACGGAGTTCAACGAGCTCTTCAACTTTTTCAATCATACTTACAAAATAGAAATATATTGGTAGAGATGAAAACTGTATATAACAGTATGACTGAAATTGTAACAAAGTCGAGACTTGCAAAGGTTCAAGTTGGCGTAACTCAGGGCTCTGTTTTGGGACCTATCTTATTTATAATTTTTTTTAAATGACTTTTTGCATCAATTTGTCGGTAATTCTATTGAGATAACTAAACCAGTCCTGTTTGCTGATGACACAAATGCAGTTGCTTCGGCTACTGAAACAGAAAATCTAGAAACAAAAAGTTGGTTCTAAAAACTATGAGAAATTGGTTTGTAGCTAAGGGCTTAGTTATCAACACTGGTAAAACAAACATCATGATATTTAGAAACAATGTTAAGAATAGCCCTCGCTATACATTTCTAGATGAAAAAAAGGGTTCAACAAGTAGAAGTTGCAAAATTTTTACGGAGTTAAAATTGACAGTCATTTGAATTAGAAGCATGAACTAGAAGACATTGAAAGCAAAATTACCTCAGTTTGCTATGTGCCGAGAAGCTTACGAGATGAAGTAGACAAAAATCATCTAAAGCTGGTATACTATGCGTTGGTTGAATCTAGGCTTTGTTAGAGCATATTATTCTGGGGAATGAGTTTTAAATATAATGTTCAAAAGGCCTCTATCCAGTAAAAACGAGCTATTAGAACCATGGTCCGTATACGATAGCTGGAATCCTGTCGTGAGTACTTTAAAAAACTTGGCATTAATACTGTACATGTCTCAACACGTAACATAATTAACGCACATCCTGAAAGTAATTTGTTCAGAATCATTTACTGAATCGATTTCTATCATTTTTAATATAGGTAATTTTTTCCCAAAAATAATTAAAACTACGTAAATTACAGTCACACTAAACCTGTACAGTAAAAAAAAACTAAAATGGACCGTAACTCTAGGCAATAAAACTTAAAAAGTGCAGTTTTATTTGTATTATAACAAATTCCGTCATTCAATACAAAATAAAGAAAATTGAACCTTAATCAAGCACGTTAAAGTCTTTACAAATACAGATTTTTGAGTGCGTTTTATCGGTCACAGCGGCCCTGTCCATTGACCTCCCAGATCAGCTGATTTGACGCCTCTTGACTTTTTTTTTTGTGGGGACGTATTAAATCATTAGTTTATTTTAGTGAGACAACAAGTGCCGAGGACATAAAAATAGGATAGTGAACGCTTTCGGAATAGTGAAAAAAGACACTGAATTGCTTTCTAAATTAAAAAGCGGTCTTAAAAATGTATTGAACAAGCTGGTAGACATTTTGAAAGTTTATTAAAATACAACGTTGCATGAGAGTTCAAGAAAGGCGACAACGCTCTCTTGAAGAACTACAGACCGATTTCCCTTCTGAGCCGCGTGCCGTGAGCTTCTACGTGCTGTTTTCGAGAGTCATTACGAATTATCTCGCGCGCAGACTTGACGACTTCCAGCCTCCCGAACAAGCCGGTTTCCGAAAAGGCTTTAGCACCATAGACCACATACATACCCTTCGGCAAATTGTACAGAAGTCCGAGGAGTACAATTTGCCACTATGTCTGGCTTATGTGGACTATGAGAAAGCCTTTAATTCCGTCGAAATTTAGGCGGTGCTGCAGTCACTTCAGCGGTGCCAAGTTGACTGTCGGTATATCGAAGTGTTGAAGTGCTTGTACAGAACTAGAGTACGAAACCTATCCAATTGCAGAGAGGTGTAAGACAGGGTGACGTCATATCCCCGAAACTCTTCACCGCTGCATTGGAAGACGTTTTTAAGCTTCTGGACTGGAAAGGATACGGTATCAACATCAATGGCGAGTACATCACTCACCTTCGATTTGCCGACGATATAGTCCTTATGGCAGAATCGCTGGAGGACCTAAGCACTATGCTCAATGACCTCAATAGTGTTTTCCAATGGATAGGTCTTAAGATGAACATGGACAAAACAAAGATCATGTTTAATATCCATGTCACACCTATGCCGGTAGTTGTTGGGAGCACTAAGCCCGAAGTTGTTGACGAATATGTTTACCTGTGACAAATAGTCCGACTAGGTAAGCCCAACTTCGACCGAGAGGTCAATCGACGGATTCAACTCGGCTGGGCAGCATTCGGGAAATTACGGCACATCTTCTCGTCAGGTATTCCTCAAAACTTGAAAACGAGACTGTACAACCCGTGCGTGTTGCCAGTCATGACATATGGAACTGAGACGTGGTCCTTCACTGCTGGCCGGATGAGGAAGCTCAAGGTCGCTCAGCGAGCTATGGAGAGGGCTATGCTCGAAGTTTCTCTGCGTGATAAACTTAGAAATGAGGATAACCGCAGTAGAACCAGAGTGACCGACACAGTCCAACGGATTAGTAAGCTGAAGTGGCAATGGGCCGGCCATATAGCTCGAAGAACCGACAACCGATGGGGAAAAAAGGTTCTTGAGTGGCAGCCTCGTACCGGCAGGCGAAGTGTAGGGCGTCCCCCACTAGAAGGAGTGACAACCTGGTAAGATATGCAGGAAGTCGATGGATGCAGGTGGCTCAGGACCGTGCTTTGTGGCATTCCTTGGGGGAGGTCTATGTTCAGCAGTGGACTTGTGAAGGGCTGTAATGATCATGATGATGATGATGAAACATGTTAACTAAGAAGTCATTGTATGTATTATGATTATAACATAATGTACTAATTAGGGTGTCTGAAGATGTGCGTTAATTACGTTAGATGTATACACATATTACTCACAAATTTTTCAAAATGTATAAGGGATTACGAGACGGATGAAAGAAATATTGGGGAAAATACAAGAAAAGACAAGACTAAGAATAAAGTTATACCTCATCCAGTTATATCCAAGCACTGCTCACAATATTGGTTGGTTAATTTATTTAATAAATTACCAGTCAACCTAAAAAGTTATCGGTACAAGAGTGGTTTCAAAACTAAGTTGCAAAATTTTTTGTTGGAAAAAGTGCTTTTATAGTGTTGATGATTTTGTTAATGATAGTAATTGATCATCTTAACATTATTGTAACATAATCTCAAATCTATTGTGATGTTTTTGACATTAATAATTTCACTACTTGTCAAAAAGTAGTTGCTTGATTTGTGTTGTATGACATTACCATTGTTAAAAAAATATATAATTTGCTTATGTATTAATTAATTATAATTCTTGATGTGTTCTAGACAATGTATATTGTCCTGAATAAATTAATTTGAATTGATCACTCCCAAAGTTGTTGCAACATCAAAGAACTATTGAACTTCTTCGGGGACATTTCATGGCCTGAATAATTATAATATTCCTGTCCAAACGCAAAATACACGCATAGTCGTGGGGTTGCGGAAAACAGCCCATCGTAATATAAACTAAACTAATACCATGGACCTTCCTGCAAGCAACTGCTCCAGAACTGCATTTGACTCAATAGCCTGTTGTTGTAATCTTCTGCAACGAATGAGTCTTGCATGACACGTGAAACAGACAATAATGGGCCCCTCATCCTCAACCATCTGAAAATATGAAAGTTTGTCATAAATATGGTAAGGTTGCAGCCTATTTACGTCCCACTGCTGGGGGCACAGGCCTCCTCTCATTTCTGAGAGGGTTTTAGGGCAAGTACGTGTTCGCCGCGCTGCCCCAATGCGTGTTGGCGAACTTCACATGTCTTAGAAATATTTATTTCTTATTTCTCAGACATGCAGGTTTCCTCACGATGTTTTACTTCACCGCCGAGCACGTGGTAAATCAGCACTTAAAATTGCAATTAACAATTTCATTGGTGCCGGCGGGGATCGAACCCGGGTTGCTCGAGTACTGTGAAGCTACAGCTGTGTACAGCGAGCGCTAACCATCTGAGCTACCACGGCTCGCAAAATATGGAATACTATCTAAATATACAGGCAGTCCCAGAAATCGACGTCAAGACCGGAAACGAGTAATAGGCCAAGTCATGATAGTTATCAAAAAAATAAAATAAAAAATTAACGTATAAAAATTACGTATTTTTAAAAATAATAAGCATTTAAAATATTGTGAAATCTACATACTGTAATTTTTTTTAACTCCCATTACTACAAATCTTTATTTCATATATATAATGTAATCCTGAATAATGTTCTGCAAGTTGTTGCTTAAAATTTAAAGCTAACTGCTCCAGCTTGAAAGAATGTGTCACTTTTAACCCAACTAAAAATTCAAAGTTAACACTTTGGCCAATTTTAACTGACTGTACTGAAAAAAATATACTATGTTAGTTTGGCAAGGAACTTTAAAGTTTGATAAGAATTAAACAATGATATAGCATGTGCTAGATTGGACAATTTTAGGGATGGATAGATATACCATTATACTAGTGCAAGTGAGTCAATAGTGGCTGTTGTCCATCTTCACTAAAGGAAAAACAATACAGTTACGCTCCGTTGTTTACCGCTCATCTTTCCATATTCATTTGTGACGATTTAGTACTTACCACTTTTTGCTACGTTTTGGACTTGATTACTTTGATTTGGATTTGGACTGTTTAGTATTTTTCGATTTTTTTTAAATGCCTATTATTTTTAAAAATATACAACTTAAATTTTTATTTTATTTTCTGATAACTGCCATATCTTCGCCTATCACCTGTTTTCAGCTTGACATTGATTTCTGGGACAAACTGTAATAAAATATAGGGGTTACCACAATTATTTTTCATCAACATAGTTTTTTATAACATTTAAGTGACAAACAAAATTTTCTGCAATAAACTTCAAGCAAAGCCTACAGATGCAGTATTACCTCTTAAGGCTAAGATGTAATGCTTCACAGCCTGTTATTGTACTGGCTCTCAATGACCTTCACACTGGGACACATACTGCTGCTTGGTGAACGAAATAGGTAAGAGGATGATGTCTACCCAGATGGACTTCTAGGCAGAAAAAAGACCTACCACCCAGTGAATCGTCTTCACTGCTACAACACAGTTGTAAGTCACCTACATCCACATAGGCTTAGCTTTCCATTGACTCCCGTCGAGTTGGGGGTTGATACGTATTTTTACAGAAAAGTTACACTATTATAAGCACACACACAATGTTACAACATGCGGAAACGCGTAATTTTTGAGAAAAAAGTTATTGAAAATCAATTATTCTTGCATTGTTTATATCTAATCCTACCATAAAACTGATGCCATTTTGTAATGTCATTGTCGTCAGTAGGAATGTCGATTCTTTCCGAAAAAGGTCGATTTTTAAATAGATTCAAATCGTAAGCTGATGTATCGATTCATAAAAAATTGATTTCTAAAATATCTATATTTTTTTATGTTTGCATTTGTAATGTAAATATAATTCCATTTTATGAAAAACAAGAAAGATACCATAATAAATGATCTCTTATTGAATTTTGTTTTATTTTAACAGTACCAATTAGGGCAGATAACAAATAAAATAGGTTAGGTTCAACTTATGTCAAAGAACCGAATTGATTGACTCCGACTCCACCTGGTACAAGTCTGTCCTACCCCTAGAGTGGTTTTAAAGAGCCGGAGGCGCGTAGGGGGAACAGCCTCCGCCTGCTGTAACAAATCGTAGGCATCGGACGAGCCGGAGCGGCTGAGGCTGGTCACCGAAGGCGACCAACAAGCCGAAGCTGCAGAAGCGAAGAGGGATGCCTGCGATTTGTTACGCTAAGGCGTAGAAGCTGCTCTTCCCGCAGCGCCGGAGACATAGCAGTCTCAAAATAGATACAGAAATCCTTCTGAATCAGTCCCCCTATATTTTATGATGAAGGGGACTTTTTTCTCATAAAATTGATTTATATTTACATTATAAATGCAAACATGAAAAAATATAGATATTTTAGAAATCGATTTTTTGGGAATGGATACATCAGCTTACAATTCGAATCTATTTAAAAAATTGATATTTTTCGGAAAGAATCGACATCCCTACTGGCAATTGCAATAAAAAATGGCATCAGTTTTATTGTAGAATTAGACATAAACAATGCAAGAATAATTGATTTTCAATAACTTTTTTCTCAAAAATTACGCGCTTCCGCATTTTGTAACTTTGTGTGTGTGCTTATAATAGTGTAACTTTTCTGTAAAAATACGTATCAACCCCCAACTCGATGGGAGTCAATGGAAAGTCGTACCTCCACATATTGCCACAATCTAGTGGGGGGCCACTACAACTTGCTTACCAGTATAAGGCTACCACTCGAGAATTATGTTTCCCCATCTGTTGTTATTTGTGTAAGCTATAAGCACACAATTCTCTAATTAATTTAAATGTTGTGTGTGTCAAGTATGTAGCAGTCTCTGTGATGTTAACAGATATAATTTTAACAGCAGTAGCTCAGACTTGTGGGACCCTGACAGATGTATTATCAAGGTCAGGATTTCCAATTTCGTAAAAAAAGGAATTTAGGACAAAAAACAGCAACATTAAGCTGTCATATTGCGCTAGTATTTTGTGAGTGTGATGCCATCCCGGTCGAGCCATGATACAACCATAATATAGCGGCAGCGTGGCTCTACCACATATAAAATAATGATAATAATGTCCTACAGACAGAATTTCAGTCACAATGGAGACTTCATAACCGCAGTACAGTACAGTACTGACAGTATTAAATAATTTAATTCTATCAGTGTGCAAATATTAAATGTGTGGAAGCAAGCACAAGTGCACACAAATCCCTCCTTTGATTTCTCAGTCTGATAGGAATATGAGAGTGAGGGAATTTCAGTGTCTGGAAGCAATTGAGCTCGCGGGCTCTAACACTTGTTGCAAACAAAGTTTAGGCGACTCTTCTAGTACGTAGTACATATTACTTCAATGATAATACTGATTTTAGTGCGACCCAGGATACCGGGCTAATTGTTGTTTTTCAGGTTCTGCTTGTATTTGTCACTCACTATATTTAACGCTGTACCTTAGCCTAGCCCTGATCTATCTCATTTTATAACACGCAATTTATAATATATTTCTCCAGCGATAACAACAAATTACCGTTGACACAGAAACTTACAAATCTGTTCGCCAATGTATTATATAAATTTTGGAGGCCAGTCTTCTTTAGAACAAACATGCGTACATTAACGCTTAAACAGATTCTACAAATTTCGCTAAACGCCATTTCTGTTTTCTATAGCTTTTTCCAACTTTTTCTCACAAACTAGACAGTAGACACTGCTAGAAATACTCAGGCGACCCGAACCCGAGCTTTATTGATTGCTAATGATTAATTGAATTAAACGTAGTGATTATATTCTCTTTGAATTGAATTAGAATTTAGAATTCTCGTTTTCTTCAAAAACCGGAGTTTTCAAAACATGTTCAAAGAGATTAAGAGAATATCATAGATAAATAAATTGGAGAATATTATTAATTAATTATAATCACCAAAGAGAATATAACCACTACGTTTAATAATCACTTTATAGTCATTTTTTTTTTGGAGTTTATGGCCTGGCATCTAGACCTTTAGGCGAACACTTTATAGTCATTCGTTTATACAGTGTTGCCAAGTCTAGACCGTTCAGAGTCGCCAAAAATTAAAAAAAGTAGCCTAAATTCACCTAATTTTTTTTCTGTAATGTAGCCTCAGATCATCTTCTGAATTGTCAGTTAGCCTATAATATTAAGGCTATTTTTGAACGTAGCACTTCATCGTAAACGTGAAAGAAAAAAAAACAAAGTACTTATGTGTATTTTATCTGTTTCTCAATATTTATATAGCTGAAAAGCGCCCTTGTTTTATTTTCCGAAGTAGCCGAGACGGCGACCAGTCGCCAATCGCAGATCCGAGAATCGAAGATCCAGAGTGCCAACCTCAAGTTGAGTCCAAAGAAGTGCTCACTATTCAAACGGCAAGTTAGTTTTTTGGGGTATGTAGTGTCGGAAGAAGATATCCGCACGGATCCAGAGAAAATTGCTGCTGTCAAGGAGTGGCCGGTCCCAAAAGACAAGACACAGGTTAGAGCATTTTTGGGTTTGTGCTCTTATTATCGGCGATTTGTGAAGAACTTTGCAGATATAGCCAAACCTCTGCACAAGCTAACCGAGGAGAAGCGACATTTCTGCTGGGATGAAAGTTGCGATATTGCATTCCAGGAGCTCAAGAACCGTCTGTGCAAAACACCTATTTCGGGGTACCCTGATGCGGGCAAGGAATTCATAGTTGACACAGACGCAAGTGATATAGGACTTGGCGGTGTGTTGTCTCAACGGAATGGTGATCAAGAGATTGTGATAGCGTACTTCAGCAAGTCGTTGTCAAAGCTGAAACTTTGCGGCTTTGACAACGACTACTGTGTCACAAGACGGGAATTGCTTGCTGTGGTAAAGTCCTTGGAGCATTTTAACAAATATCTTCTAGGGCGGAAATTCCACTTACGAACTGACTATGCTGCACTGAAATGGCTATTGCAGTTCAAAAATCCGGTAGGACAAGTTGCGAGATGGATTGAACTACTGCAGGAATACGACTTTGTGATCGAACATCGCAGCGGGAAATCTCATGGCAATGCAGATACATTGTCAAGAAGACCTTGCCCTGAAAATTGCAAGCATTGTACTAGGCAAGAGGGTATCTGTGAGAATGCTCAGGACAGACCAGCTCAGCAATGAGTGGAAGGACAGCCTACAACATGCACAGCAGGAAGATTCAGACATTAAGCCGATTCTGGAATGGATGAAGGCCAGTGTTCCTAAGCCCAAGTGGAGCGACGTCTCAGCAATGAGTTCGACCACGAAAAGAAATTGGGCCCAATGGGACAGCTTGCTGATTCAGGATGGAGTCCTGTGCCGTAAATGGGAAAATGGTCGGGGAGACAGTTGTCATTTGCAAATGGTTGTCCCTAAGGCTAAAGTACCGGATGTTCTACAGCTGTACCATAGTGGCTGTTCAGGAGGCCACCTGGGAGTAAAACGAGCTCTACTGAAGATCCGAGAACGGTTTTACTGGGTCCACTATCGTGACGATGTCGAGGACTGGTGCCGCAAATGTACAAGTTGTGCGGCTGTAAAGGGACCTCAAATTCGTAGTAGAGGTGCATTGAAATTGTACAATGTTGGTGCACCATGGGAGAGGATAGCCATTGACGTTGCGGAGCCGTTTCCGGAAATTGAAAGTGGTAACAAGTATTTCATGGTTGTGATGGATTACTTCACTAAGTGGCCAGAAGTCTTCGCCATTCCAAATCAAGAAGCTTCAACAGTTGCAGATAAACTAGTTCATGAAGTCTTCTGTCCTTTTGGAGTACCTTTAGAGATTCACAGCGATCAAGGAAGGAATTTTGAGTCTCAAATATTCCAGGAAACTTGCCGAGTTATGGGTACTCAGAAAACACGAACAACTTCTTACCACCCACAATCTGATGGAATGGTAGAAAGATTTAATCAGACATTGGAGAGGTACCTAGCAAAAGTTGTGGAAAAACGGCAACGAGACTGGGACAGGCACATACAACCGTTTTTGTTGTCATATCGAAGCGCTGTTCACGAAAGTACATCAGTGACGCCAGCTTTAGCAAACTTTGGGAGAGAATTATGGCTGCCTGCAGACCTGATCACCGGAATACCACCTGATGCCCCACGCAGTATAACCGATTATGCAAATGACTTGCGGAACAAAATGAATGACATTTATGAGCACGTCAGACAGACGGGCCAGCAAACGTCTGAGAAGATAAAAACACGGTATGACCGCAAAATGAACAACAAGGGGTTTGATGAAGGTTCACTAGTGTGGTTACACAATCCAGCTCGCAGCAAAGGGAAATCTCCTAAGCTTCAAGCTAGATGGGATGGACCGTACCGGATTGTGACAAGGATCAATGATGTAACCTACCGGATACAGAAAGGTGCCAGAGGTACTCCTAAGATTGTCCATGTGGATCGACTGGCGCGTTATTATGGGTTCAATAATGCTCGGGATGAGCATGTCTTAGGAGGGGGCAGTGTTGCGCGCCACTATTAATGTCTTGTACATGGCAACACTAGTTACACTAGCGTCCTCTAGTGTCGAGTAGCAGAACTAGGAGAGTCGAGATCTTTCCAGAAATTTCGGGACCGATATGTACTCGTACATTCTAGATGTCGCTACAGTAGAAGGTTCTGGAAACTATCTGAGGCTCTATATAAGGCCGGTATAGACCACGATCGGGGCAGTATTGAATTGGCGATACAAGAGAATACTTCGAAGCTAAATAACGGCGAACTGTGTTTTATTGTTAGTGTGATTTTAGATTGTAATTAGTGTTGTGTAATTAAAGTGTCAATTTTGGTAATTCAATCGGCAGTTTTTAATTGTCTCGAACCCCAAGCTCGTAACAATATTATAATATTGGTATTACTATCAGGCCGTGTCAACTTCCTAATAGCTGATGGGTACCGGGAGATGACCTTGAGGGGCTTTAAGGAAGCGAGATGGAATAATATCCATCTCCCTCGCACGTTTTGTTATCTTGCCATGAAAGAAAAATTATTTTAAATGACACATCATTTTAATCATTTTTTTATTTAATAATTATATACTTTATTATATAATATTGTTACGAGCTTGGGGTTCGAGACAATTAAAAACTGCCGATTGAATTACCAAAATTGACACTTTAATTACGGATACTAATTACACCTTAAAACACACTAATAATAAAACACAGTTCGCCGTTATTTCGCTTCGAAGTATTCTCTTGTATCGCCAATTCAATACTGCCCCGGTCGTGGTCTATACCGGCCTTATATAGGGCCGCAGATAGTTTCCAGAACCTTCTACTGTAGCGACATCTAGAATGTTCGAGTACATATCGGTCCCGAAATTTCTGGAAGGATCTCGACTCTCCTAGTTCTGCTACTCGACACTAGAGGGCGCTAGTGTGACTAGTGTTGGCATGTACAAGACATTAATAGTGGCGCGCAATACTTTCATTTACTCGACACTAGGGGGCGCTAGTGTAACTAGTGTTGCCATGTACAAGACATTAATAGTGGCGCGTAACACTGCCCCCTCCTAAGACATGCTCGTCCCGAGCATTATTGGCCCCATAATAACGCGCCAGTCGATCCACATGGACAATCTTAGGAGTACCTCTGGCACCTTTCTGTATCCGGTAGGTTACGTCATTGATCCTTGTCACAATCCGGTACGGTCCGTCCCATTTAGCTTGAAGCTTAGGAGATTTCCCTTTGCTGCGAACTGGATTGTGTAACCACACTAGAGAACCTTCATCAAACCCCTTGTTGTTCATTTTGCGGTCATACCGTGTTTTCATCTTCTCAGACGTTTGCTGGCCCGTCTGTCTGACGTGCTCATAAATGTCATTCATTTTGTTCCGCAAGTCATTTGCATAATCGGTTATACTGCGTGGGGCATCAGGTGGTATTCCGGTGATCAGGTCTGCAGGCAGCCGCAATTCTCTCCCAAAGTTTACGTAAGCTGGTGTCACTGATGTACTTTCGTGAATAGCGCTTCGATATGACAACAAAAACGGTTGTATGTGCCTATCCCAGTCTCGTTGTCGTTTTTCCACAACTTTTGCTAGGTACCTCTCCAATGTCTGATTAAATCTTTCTACCATTCCATCAGATTGTGGGTGGTAAGAAGTTGTTCGTGTTTTCTGAGTACCCATAACTCGGCAAGTTTCCTGGAATATTTGAGACTCAAAATTCCTTCCTTGATCGCTGTGAATCTCTAAAGGTACTCCAAAACGACAGAAGACTTCATGAACTAGTTTATCTGCAACGGTTGAAGCTTCTTGATTTGGAATGGCGAAGACTTCTGGCCACTTAGTGAAGTAATCCATCACGACCATGAAATACTTGTTACCACTTTCAGTTTCTGGAAACGGCCCCGCAACGTCAATGGCTATCCTCTCCCATGGTGCACCAACATTGTACAATTTCAATGCGCCCCTACTACGAATTTGAGGTCCCTTTACAGCCGCACAACTTGTACATTTGCGGCACCAGTCCTGGACATCGTCACGACAGTGGACCCAGTAAAACCGTTCTCGGATCTTCAGGAGAGTTCGTTTAACTCCCAGGTGGCCTCCTGAACAACCACTATGGTACAGCTGTAGAATATCCGGCACTTTAGCCTTAGGGACAACCATTTGCAAATGACACCTGTCTCCCCGACCATTTTCCCATTTACGGCACAGGACTCCATCCTGAATCAGCAAGCTGTCCCATTGGGCCCAATAGCTTTTCGTGGTCGAACTCATTGCTGAGATGTCGCTCCACTTGGGCTTAGGAGCACTGGCCTTCATCCATTCCAGAATCGGCTTAATGTCCGAATCTTCCTGCTGTGCATGTTGTAGGCTGTCCTTCCACTCATTGCTGAGCTGGTCTATCCTGAGCATCCTCACAGATACCACTTCCTTATTCTCTTGCCTAGTACAATGCTTGCAATCTTCAGGGCAAGGTCTTCTTGACAATGCATCT